GGACGCTAGGGGTGTTTTTGTACGAAATGTTGTACGGGAGAACACCTTTCGAAGGCGAATACAATGGGAAAACATTGATCAACATCCTTAAACAGCCTTTAACATTCCCGAGAATCACTGCTAAAAGCGGCAAAGAGTTTGAAGAGATGGTCAAAGTTCAAGATCTCATCAGCAAGCTGCTGGTGAAGAATCCAAAGAGGAGAATAGGAAGCTTGAAGGGATCTGCTGAAATCAAAAGGCATGCGTTCTTCAAAGGAGTGAATTGGGCTCTTATTAGATCAGTAAAGCCGCCTGAAGTCCCCGGTGATGTATATAAGCGTAAGATCAGTAGGGTACACATTCCGAAGTTAAGCAAAGAAGAAAGAGATGCCCCATATTATATCCCTCATCATTTTGACTATTTTTAAGTCTTAACAGTGTAAATTAAAATACCCAAAAACAAAATAGGAAGCAAGTGAAAAAAATCATGCATTACACCAAAGCAAAGAGTTGTTTATCCTGCCCAGAGAGTTTTTTTTAAAGTTGTTGTAAGCTTCTAATTTGTATGGTTTGAATTACTTAACATTTAATTTATTTTTATGTATTCTGACGTTTAAAAGGGAGGGATCCCATAATTGTCCCAATGTGATTCCAAGAGAAATCTATGAACTTCATGTTATGACAATTATGACTCTCGTCAATGATGGTAAAAATATTATTAAAAAAAACACCAAGGGCTTTCCTTTGTAACTTTTTCTATCAAGTCGGTCACTTTTTTCTCTCTCACAAAATGAGCACTTCCATAGTCACGCATTCACATGTCCTTTCACGGACCAAAGGTAAGAAAAACATATAATAAAAGGACAAATTATCAATCATGTTTTCCTGCCGCGGGATCAAATATCATGTGTGGACCACTTTCATGATTATTAGAATGTGGTGGGAATAATAACATCATAATCAAGAAATATAAAAGAAACAAGATCATGTATTTAATTAAACTCGTTTATATACTACATCGATAAGAGTGATAATCTGACTCCTTATGCGGATGACTCATCATTTTCTTTCTTTATTTTATATCCCATTTGTAAATTTCGAGGAAGAACATAAGATATTAAGGTGTATTTGGTTCACGGAATGTAAGATTATTAGTGGAAATAAAAAGATTATTAGAGAATATGATTACTGAAAATGTTGTATTTTGTGTTTGGTTGGTTTAGCAGGAATGTAAGATTGTCGTGTTTGGTTAAAGGAATAAAAGATTATTAGAATGTATATTTGACCAAATTGTCCTTATTATATATTTGTATAATATTACAAATTGTAAAATATTTATATATTTTCTTTAAAAAATTAAATTCATAATATTTATATAAATTTTTTTACAAAATTAAAAATATAAAAAAGGTTTAATGAAATGGTAAAAAAAATTAATCCCTGAACTTCATATAAAATTTTAATTATATAATTTTTTTTGTAAATCTAAAATAATTTAAGTATAAATTTGTAATTTAACCTTCGTAGAATTTTTATTATTCAATGACAGAAGAATGATATTTTTGAAAAAAAATAAAAATTTAAGGGCATTTTAGTCCAAAACGCCGGTAATGTTACAATACCTAAGGGAAGGGGAGGTAATGACATTCCCGGTAATATACCCCAAAAAATCTACTATTGATAATAAAACATTACCGGGAATGAGATTCCCGGCCAACCAAACATGAGAATGTGGGAATCTCACAATCCTTGAACCAAACACTCCCTAAGAATCTAATGAAACTGCATGCTTATCTCTTGTGATTTCGAGGTTCTAGAACAACTGATCAAGTTCACTGTTTCGTTCCATGTTATCTAACGCTTGTTCCATGGGAGCTTATTATTTGATCAAGGATAAGTCGAATTTTAATGAAATGGATCAAAAGTTTGGAGAGGAATATATGTATATAAATGTTATGGTCAACAGGTTCATTATAAAGGTAGATTCAACTTTGAACGGAGATAGGCAAAGCCAAAGGCGAAATTGGAGTGACCCATTTGATATGGAATATTGGGACTGGGACTGGGACTGGGGACCGGTGGGTCGTCGGCTTGCAGAAGCACGCGAGGTTTCTCAAATTCAACTTCAACCCCACTAGCTCGTGTTGGTTGCAAGGAGAGAAAGTGATAGCGTTATCTCTAATCTACTATTCATATTTCTCACTTTTCACCCAGCTGCTAATTAAACTGAACAATTAAGTAATATCAGTACGAATCTTCAATTACGTAATACCAGAACGAATCTTCCTACATACAGACCATCTCTTAGTTCCCTTCACTAATCTTCGGTGTTAAGAATGGTAAATGTTTAGTAACCAAATTCCAAACACTTTTATCACAAAGTCCACGAAATTGTTTTTCTTTTGACTTGAAAGGGATAACACTCGACTTTTTAACTTGAATCTTCTTTTAACCATGCGCGACTTCCTTTGTTATATAGATGAAAAAGGCTTAATACAAAACTAAATGACCAAACTGTACCTTAATTCTCGAATAGGTGTTTAAATTATTTTTTTGACATATTCAGGTTTCTAACGTTACAAATATTATCATTTTAGGTGTTTGGGCCGTCAACAACGTTAATTTTCCCGTTAAGTGACACGTGTCACAAATATGATTTTTTTTAAATTTATTTAAAATTAAAAATAAAATTATATATATATGTATTCATTTAAAGAAAAACAAAAACATTTTGAAATGACCCCAAACTTTAGAAACCTTCATTTCAATTCCTAAACCCACATCGACTGATACTCTTTGTTGTCGACGAAGCTCCACTCGACCTCTTCTCCCCCCGGCGACCAAAACCCCATGAAATCATGACCAATCAACGATGAATCGACGTTTTATATCTCGTGAACCCTAGGATGAAAAATCGCGATCCCACGCAATCTCGATGGCAACTACGACGGCGTATGACTAGGAGGGTGGTAAGGATCACGTTGGCAGCGATAGTTGTGATCAGAAAGGGGGGTGGCAGCGGGTTAAGGATAGGATTTGGGTTTGTTAGGTATTTTGTGGTTTTTTATAATGTAAGAGAAATTAGGTTTTTTATATTAAATATAATAATATATTTTTAAAAAAATAAATTTCAAAAGTATCATATTGTGACACGTGTCACTTAACAGGAGAAATTAACGTCTTTGAGGGTCTGGACACCCAAAATGATAATATTTGTAATGTTAGACACATGGATGAGTCGAAAAATTGTTTAGGCACCTATTCAAGCATTTAAGTATAGTTTAGGCACTTGTTTTAGTATTAAGCTATCTGAAAAATATGGGTAATAAAGCAGCAAAATATGGGCCAGAACTACTCTAGAAACCGAAACGAAAAATGGGTATGGGTTTGAGCAAAACTATTAGGCTTTGAGGGTCTGGGACTTTAAATGTGACAAACTTTTCTGTTCCCCTCTTTAATACTTAGTTTAAATGAACCAACAACATTTAGGTATAACTATCAATATCCGATATATTGATTGACTAATCCAGATTAAATATCGTAGAGGCAACTAGGCAAGGATGATCTTCCAGCTTTAATGCACTCTTTTAATAATTTTTTAAAGTTTTTAAAAATTGAATAATTTCCTTGATCGGCCCATGTGAAAAAGGTATATCGAATAAGTTAATTTAATGTAGTACAATAAACTTTTATAATTTAAATTACAAATATTAAAAGTAGATTGATTATTTTAATAATCTGATGACAAAACTAACGATCTATAATAAATATTAATTGACCAACGACAATCATCAAAAGAATTTTTTTAAGATCAAGTTGATACATAAATTAGCATTCAGTACTTAAAATTAAAACATTTTAAATCTAGTGACAATCAATACATAAATTAAAATTCTCGAGAAAAAAATAATTACGCTATTAATGATTTAACAAATCTCCAGTTAAACCCCAAACTAAAATTTAATAGTGAAAGTAAAACAACTTAAAAGCTGTGAAATGCTGCAGCAAAACCATCTAACTTGGTACTTCGTATTGAATGTTTGATGTCTGCCGGTGTCATAGGCAGATAGCGGCAATCCCATTAATTTTGTAGGACACGTGTTCCTATTTCATGGGCTCTTCAGTTCAGGCACATGAAATAGCTAGCACATAAGTTGAACCAACAAAAGGGCCTTACACTTTAGAATAATAATATTTTACGTTTCAAGTATAATATAGTACGACAAAATATCATGTTTCTTGAATACCAGAAAGCACCAAGAAGGTGATTAGGTTACCCATGGTTTTGTGAAAGCTTTGGCTCAGCTAAACCAGTGACTTCGGCGATGTCCATCATGAGAAAAAGGAGAAAAGCACGAGAAAAAGCTTTCATGGATTTGTGCGTGTAAGTGAGAGAACAAACCACCCTGTTGATAATGTGCACAAATCACCAAATTCCTATGCCCACCGTTTTCAGTAGTTCCATATCAACTTATCTAACTCCAAATGACTGAGTTATCTTTCAATTTCTTTAAAGTTAATATGTGAAGTTTGATTTTTGTTTCATTTTAGTATGATTATTAAAAATTTTAATTTTTAATTTATTTTGTTATCTCTTTCAAAATTTAAAGTTAAGTTTTTAAATTTGAAAATTAAGATATTAAAATGGCTCACAAATTATAATTTAAATATTAAACACGTTTTATTTTTAACGGTGAATATTAAAATAAAATAAAAATTAAACGTTAGATATGATTTAAAAAAAATGAAATCAAAAGTAATAATTTATATGCTAATTATGTAGTTTGCTCTTTGTTCTTTTGATTTCTTTTAGATAATATAGGGAAATGTGCAGGAGCAACGGAGCCAAACCGATAACAGCAGAAATCAAAGTGAAAGGTGAAAACAAGTGTCTCTGTCGCTGGGATTCAAGTGAAACCATCAAACTCCACCCCCTATACCTGAGGCACACTCCACAAATCTCTACAACTCCATATCCATCCTATTTCATCCCTTATAAATACCCATCCAATTCTCACAATCTCTTCAACAAACCCTCACACAATCATACCATTTACTTTTTATTGTTTTCCTCTGAAACTTGTTTCATCACAATCACCTTTTTGTTTCTCTTTCACAATGGCTAAAAATGTTGCTCAATCTGCTACCTTGGCTTCCCTTGACCAACAGCTGGCCATGGCCAAGCGCTGCTCTCATGGTAATTTTCACTTTCTTTCCAGGTTATTATACATATTTGGTAACTTCATCATGTTAAAGCATCATGGGACAACATGCTTTAGTTCCTTTAAAAGTAACTTGAATATTGATCATCCGTTTCTTGTTTTGCATCATCAGAGGGCGTGCTGGCCGGAGCTAAGGCAGCCGTTGTTGCTACCATTGCCACTGCAATTCCAACTGTAAGTATATCGAGTACCGGACAGTCTCATAGTATTTTATCCTTGATTTTTCTTGGGGATGATTAAATGTTCTTGATATGCATGATGCAGTTAGCTAGTGTAAGGATGCTGCCATGGGCAAGAGCCAATCTCAATCACACCGCACAAGCTCTCATAATCTCCACAGGTAAAGTTTTTCATCATTTTCCTTTTACAAGTTTCTCTCAAGATCTTGTGTTACTTATAATTTGCTTTTGTTAATAAAAGTTCCGATCGTTATTGCAGCGGCTGGAGCTGCTTATTTTATAGTTGCGGACAAGACTGTTTTGGCTACGGCACGGAAGAACTCCTTCAAGCATGCACCTAACATGGAGACAAGAATCTGAGTTTGGTTTAAATTTAGACTCGGCATCTGATGTAAACCATCATTATTACCATTCAGTACGCTATAAAAAAGGGTTGGAATTAGGAAGAAGGGGTGGGGTGAGTTGAATTAGTATTCTCTAAGAAGCTGGTATTTGCTCCAGTTGCTATGTAATCCATCGGATTTGTAATATATAAATAAAGATGGTTTTCCTTTACAAGAATCTGAGTTTTATGCACCAAGAAATTTCACTTCCAGAGTTGGCTGCTTTGCAGGGTATTAGCTTACATAGCACATGGTTTTAAAATTGGCCTAAATAATGGCTCTCGGCTTTAAATGGTTTCCAGTTTTTTTTTTAGATTCAAGTCCAGATCTTGTCTTGGACTTCGGATCTCTGAAATATTAGTTTATCCATGATTAGCGTAACTAGCGATGCTTTAAATATAATATAAAAATAAAACCCTAAGGAGAAAGAAGATGATGGTGAAATGTAAAATCAGGATATTAGAAGCAGGATCATCTTCCCTATTTCGTCTCTTTACGTTGGTTGTAACGTCCCAAATTTAAGGTTACCAGTTCGGGTCAACTCGAGATCTATAAATGAGCCCAAAGGATCTATTAAAATAGTTGGCCCAAGTTTAGTAATAGTTAACTTGAGTTGGACCCAAGAGTTAAATAAGGGTGATGATTATTTTATGAGATAAAAAGGAAGAGGACCAAAAGTGTAATTTACCCGTTTCTCAATTCAAAGGCTAAAACCCCCATTTTTATGTTTTGTTACGTGAACCACTCCCCCTACTATCTCACCAAACACTCTTCTCTTCATCTTATCTTTTTTCTCTTTTCCTTTCTCCTTCAAATGAAAGTTTCAAGGATCTCAAGCTAGTTGGGTTTAGTTAAGGTAAGCATGGTAAGCTACAATCAAAGAGCGTTAATTTCAACCCCATTTCTCAAGTTTTAGACTTGTTTTTCAAAAATGAGTTTTGGGGAAGTTTAAGAGAATATATGGATTCTAACTCGTTTTTAGTAGATTAAAGTTATATGAAGTGTCATTAACTTTAATCCAACCACCTAGTTAAGTTGGTAATTCCTTCGTTTGACTTTGAACATTGTTGCATTATTCATATCCTTGGGAAAATCTTGTTGTTGCCGATGAAAATGGGGAGAACATTGGTGATGTAACATCGCAGATAAACAAAAATTCTAATGTTTTGCATTGTATAAATTATTCCATACACTTTTTTTTATGATTATTGTTATTTTCTATATAGCTATTTCTTTTGCCTAATGATTCCCAAACACCGCCCCTGCTCCCATTGTATGATACAATGGCTAGGTTTTATCCACCTTCATGTCTTGAGTTCATAGACTAATACAACATTGTTATAACCAGACACAATGAGTGGCAGAGAGATTAAGAGAGTCTGGAAAAGATTAATGGCTTCCAAAGAGAGCAAGCCCAAGAAACTAGCTAGTTTCTGATCACTTTTTATAGGTCCAGTACCAAAAGTCAGAAGCCAAAATCCGAGCCTGCTGTGAGAGCAAACTACAAGCCTGTTTCACAGAGTTGGTTGTTGAAGAAACTCGAAAATGGCCCAGCTGTAGACAATGAAGACCAGAAGCGAATCGAAGGAGCAAATTAAGGTGATTGTTGAAGGGAGAAAGTCAGTGTCCCACATAGAAACGAATTTTGGTAAATTCTAAATATAATTCTAATTCTAATCCTACCTAGAGAAATAGAATTTCTCATAATATAAGGGAACTCTAGGAGAATGAATTACTCATGACTTAAGCTAATATATAACTATAAGGAAATAAAGATGAGCAATTTGATCAACTGACCAAATATTTGTACTAAAAAATGGTTAAATTATGACTGTTACATGAATCTATTCAAATTATATAATCCTTTATTTTCTTTTCTTCTGCCCTTTTGAGTCATTTGGGTGTGTAGAACAATGAAATACTGTAATGCGAAATTAAGTCCAGTCTGTCCCGTGAGTTCTAATCATTTTAGACGTTTAATTACCTTGTTTTTGTCTGTCTCGTAGTTAACACTTTGGGCTTTTTTATACAGAAATTTGATAAAGTTTTTGGATCCGCCTGACATTGCATTATGGGCTCAAATTTCTGCTCATTTGTTACCCACGTAACCGGTTGCTTCCTTTATTTCTCAATGGACGAACTATACATTTTAATATTTAACACGAACCAATTTATTTCAGTGGTTAAAAAAATTATTGTTAACATAGAGGTCATGGGTTCGAACACCAACGACTACAACAGGGTGATTGAGTGTTCATTATCAAATGATTGCGAATGCTTAAAACAAATTCTACTTTATAATCACCTTAGCTTAATAAAAAATACATTTTAATATTTAAAACAAAAGTTGCCATGATTGCAAATTAAGGCTAATAATTAGAAACTTTGAATGCTATTAATCAAACATAGATTCTTTTCTCTCTATTTATTCTCATTTTTTAAAAAATTTGTATGTTCTTTTTTGTTAATGGAGAAACTATACATATTTTCTCTATTTATCCTCAATTATTATGAATCTCTACATGCATTATTTTAGTCTAATGGTGATTCATAATCCAACTGATTCAACACTTAATAATTCTACTCCTCAATTCCAAGTTTTGACCCAACGCAGTAACAATTTAGTGCTAAATAATAGTATTTTAGATAGGAAAGATTTGACCAAAAAGATTTTTATACAAGAGTGACAACCGATGGATTGAAAGAGATGAAAAAAAAACATAAATCAATTGTTACATACTTATTCAAAGGATTAAAATATGGGGATAGGTAAGGATTCCTCGCCCGTATAGGGTTGTGGGTAAAATGGCTGGATTGATCATCGACTTGTCCTTTTTGCGATAATTTCAAGATGAAGGGGGTAAGTAAGGATTCCTCGCCCCGTATAGGGTTGTGGGAAAAATTATTTCCTCATATAAGGTATCTAACATATTATTTCTTAAACTAGGACATCTTATTAGTTTGAGGATGCTATGCACTCCTGAGGTCTTCTCAATTTGCATGAAGGTACCATGCAGTCATGGAGTATTCTTCATTTGTCTGAAGACGTCATGCAATCGTAGAATCTTCATATTTAACTTGAAGACGCGTGAAGCACCTGATGTATTTAGATTGATACTGTTCAATTCATTCTAGATAGGGAAATAATCCCCGAGATGGATTATATTGGGAATTAAAAACTCCCACTTACATTATCTCAACTATTTTGCCGATAAGTAAGGGTATGAAAATTTGGTCTTTTTATATAAGTTTTATTTAATTATGTAGCGGTCGTGTCGAATTAATAAACCCTTTTTCTTTTTTCTTTTTACAAAATCGCACTGATAAACTCAATATTGTTTTTTTATTAAGCTAAAGCAAAATAATATATATTCTAAATACTCTTAACAATTTGACAACAAATGCTTATTTACTCTGCTGATTGTCGCTGGTGTTCAAACTCGTGACCTCTAAGAATAACAACGATTCTTTTAACCAATGAAGTTGATTGGTTCGTGCTAAACTTGGTATTGATTAAATATAAAGATATTTAATCATTGATATAAATTTTAGATATTATATTAGAAACCATCATGTATTCAAGATACACATAAAAATGGTTTTACTAGTTTAGTTTGATAAATTAGGTACTTTGATTAAAAGTTTTGAAAGTGCTAACTAGCTTAACCCACCAAAATTTAATTTCCTAAATTAAAATAAACAAATCTCATTTCTAATATATAAGCAGCATAAGGTCATAGATGGTAGGATGGGTGGGCGACGCCTCATCAATCAAATTGTAGACTATGGGCTATAACAAACAAATTAAAAGTCGGCTACCTTATCAACTCGACACACCAACTCCAAACCAGTATATAAAAATAAATAAATACAAAATCCATTTATTCAAGAGGGTTTGGCATTTAATAGCTCAATTTCAAGGCGATCAGATTAACCTGAGTTTCTTTTGGTATACATTTAACGCATAAACTCAACCCAGAAGAAAAGGGAGAAAGCTATAGCAAAAGCCCGTGAAACATAAGCTGTAGAAAAACAAAAGTAAAACACAGATGTTTCAGGTTTGTGTTCCCGTACATTTTTCCTTCTATTTCACGAGAAAATTTACACGTTCATAAGAAAACCACGCGCATAATTTAAACTGGAATGTCGGAAGTCATATCACATTCGAAAACATTTACAAAGATAAAACTCTCTCTATATATGATCATGAATTACGTTTGTTTGATCTTCGTTTTTTGACGGCATCCGGTTTACCAAAAACCCCGCAAAAACCACAACCGGAGACCTTGGGAGAAGGGGGGTCGATGCTAGGCGAAGCCGCCTTTGTGGTGCGGTACATACGTCCATCGCTACCTCCGTCTGATCGGCTTCGTCTCATAATACCCTCCGATGAACCTCGGCTTTGTTTATTTTCTGGGTTGTTGTTAACAGCCTTCATCCGGTTCAAATCCCCCGATAAAACCTTGTCGTCCCATACCAAACCCGACGACCCTTGTCTCCTAAACGACGTCGTTGACCTCTGCAAACCCTCCATCTCTTCAAAATCTCCTCCTGTCTTGTGTATGTTCTGGAGTATTGGGGGACAGTTGTTTATAGGTTTTTACTGGTGCAAGGTGGAGGGACGGTGAGTCCAAAGATACGTGGTGAAGTACGACTTTTTCAATGTGGTGTTACAAGCATACGAGGGAGTGGGGAGAAGATGAAAGCGACATGTATGGAATATCAAGGACGAAAATTGATAAATAAATGATTGATAAATAATGGAAATAAGTGTTGGTAATGCTCAATCCCACATAGTATTCGAAACACTATTGAGAATGATATTTAAGGCTTGGCTTTCCCATTTCCTTGTTGAGTGATAGAGAACAAGGGAAACTTTCGCGCGCCGTCGCCATCTCGTGATCGTGGTTGTGGTAATACGTGTCTTCGATATATCCGCACGAATACTATCTTTTTAGAGAAAATTCTTAAGAAACAAATGCAATACCATCAGTTGTTGCGAATCTGAAAACTGATTTGCGATACCGGAGATCGCGTTGTGAATTATCAATCGCATTGCGATTTAGTTGGTCATTTTGACAAATAAAAAAAAATTGATTAAAATCGTATATTATAAGACATTTTTAGATCATTTAAGCCCTCAAAAATGCACAAAGCCTTATCAAAGTGCCCTGATATGGAGTGCATATTCATTGAAGAATTTGGAGCCTTAAGGACATGAGTCCGGAGGTGATAGCCAATTTGTGAACCTGGGACCCTGGCTCGATTTAAGGAGTTCTCTAAACCTTCCTCGTACAGGCGTCAAAGGGGAAATTAATACGCGAAAAACGGTGGGGCTTCTTCACCCCTCCGGTTGCCGGAGCTGACTTGCGAGCGGCCTTTGTGGCTAGCTGCTTACGTGGAGCTTTGCCACCGGTTGATTTCCTGGCTGTTTGCTTGGTACGGGCCATTGGATTAATCGACGATGCACAGCAAAGAAAATGTATTGATGAACGTGATTGTTAACATTTGGAGGGGATATATATATATATACATACGTGAACATATAGGCAGAGAGTGATTAACAGGGAAAGGGTCGTGGAGCAACTGGACTCGTACGTTCAGATGAGTGCAAGTTTTGTTTTTAAGGCTTTAATGTAAGCGTAAACTACACAAATGATCTTTGATTATAAGACTATGTATTATAAAAAAAATTAATTATTAAAATTTATAAAATGATTTTTTACTATAAGGTATTTATTCTATTGAGTCCCTGAATTATTAAAAATTATAAAATAATCATATTCATTTGTTCTAAATTCATCATTTTCTATAATTTTTTTATAACAATCTAAGATAGATATTAGCATTGATTGAGATATGATAATCTTTTGAGATTTTAAGATTAAATTTTATTACATCAATTTTTAAAAGAAAAAAATGACTTTAGAATATAAATAGTCAAATGATTATTTTATAACTTAGAGACTTAACAAACCAATACTATATAATAGAGATATTATTTTTTAACTTTAATAGTCAAATTACACAATAAAATAATATCTTACAATTGGGACCATTTGTATATTATATCCTTAATATAAAAGTTCACTTGAACCGTTGAACGAGTTAATTGAAATTTTCTCTTCGAAATAATTTCTCAGTATATACCACTCCCTATATCCCAACAAATTTGTCATTTCTGCGTTTTAAAAATCCTTTTTACGTTTTAAAATTGTTCCATTTAAATTATTCCGTATAAATTATCCATTTGAAAAGTCAATAAATTTTACTAGACACATTTCTCTTTCTACTATCTTTTAATTTTTAAACAGAATAAAATTTAATTTTCATTTTTCAGAAGATACAATTATCATTTTAATTTTTTTACTATATTATCTTTTACACAAATTTTCAAAACCTAAAATTACTTGAAAAGTTAACAAATGGACAATATAATGGGACGGAACAGAGGTAGTATCATTTATTTATACAAGCAATGAGAGGGCAGAGAAAATTACTTTTACTTTTACCCTCGGGCCTCAACCTTTCCTCATCTGCGTCCCTTCCGTTATCTGCCAACACTCCAGCCCGATATAACCCTAAGTTGAAAACTGCACTTGGCGGGAAAAGGATTTTTGTTGCTCCTCGCTCGTTTGCTTTGGCGACACCTTGAAAATCGTAGAATATACTGTTCACTATCGGAAATCATATACAAAAATGCAAGACGTGAAGATCCTCACTCTCTCCGATTTACTCAGCTACGGTCGTTCCCACACTGGATCTTCAACTCCCGGCCCTCCGATCATCTTTGATCAAAACCCTCAACGGCCACCTGGCTCTTCCACTTCAAACCCTAACCAGGAACTTGAACCTCTGGCTCAGCTCGATTACCCGGCTATTCTCGTCGGAACCTTAAGACTCCCTACCCTGACTCTTAGTTGCCCTCACAAGAACTGCCTCGAATTCTCTGACGATTCAGACGCCGTTTGCTGCGACATTGTAGGATTTGATCTCCGCGCCATTGGTAAGAAAATCCACGTCCTTACCTGGAATTTCATTACATCGGATCATCTTTCCAGTGGATTCTTGGAAATCTTCAAATGGGACTTGTCTGATTCGAGTCACGGGCTCAGTCGATGTTCTAGCATGATAATAGATTCGTCTCCCTTAGTTTCAAATTCTATTGAACACGTACCTAGAGCTAGCAATGCTAAATCCTATCGAATTCACGGAGTAATAGGAGCTGTTAGTCCTGTCTCTGTTGTTCCATGTTCAGTTGAAGACTCAAGTTCGAGTAAGTCGATGAATCTTCGGGGTTTTCAAGTGAGAGTCATGACTTGTGAATGCAAATTGTGTCGTTATGAAGAGTCAGTCAGTGTTTTATTTGGAGCAGCGGATTGTCATTTTTTTACAGTACCTGTATATGTGTACTTTTGTGGGCCTGCTTGGTGTTGGCATCCTGTGCTGATGAAGCTCATTGAGAAGGTTGTTACGATTTCGGGTTTGATGAAGAAGTTGACTATGATGGGGAAGCAAGATTCTGTTTTGATGCTTGTTACTGCTGAGAACACTGTTCTCCATTTGCCGAGATTATGGAAGAAGATAAAGGTTGTACGTGATTCTTATGTAGGCACTGTAAAAAATGTTTATATGAAAGGATTGGTTGTTGAGCTGGACAAAGAAGTGTGGCTTTTATTAACGAATCAGTCACTCATGCCACCACACGGTCTTAGGATTGGTGCTGTTGTGAGTAAAATATTCATTTGATTCATTCATTGTTTTATTATCATAATCTTCTTCTTGTTCAGTGTCAGCCTTGTTTACATTTTATCTATTTGATTGTTTCTTATGAGCAGATTTCAATGAGAAATGTCCATTTTGTGGATCCACAATTTTCTTGGGCAAAGTTTCTTGTTCTCGGGACTTGCTCCAATACCAGCATCATAGTAAAATCATTCTCGCCATTAAAGACAAGGTATTACTCATTCCTGAACTTCTCATTCAATATTGCCTTTATTCACTTTTAGCAATGCTATATAACTAGTGTTATTCTTTTTAGAATTACTATAGAAACTGAATTTGAATTCTTTTTCGTATTTTTTAATTGATGAACCCATTTAAATATTGCCTTTATTCACTTTTAGCAATACTATATAACTAGTGTTATTCTTTTTAGAATTACTATAGAAACTGAATTTGAATTCTTTTTCATATTTTTTAATTGATGAACCCATTTATATGTTGGCTCTGCCAGTTCAATGATGGATGGTTTCATGAAGGTATTTGACGCTTAAGACCTGAAAGGATGACTGACATGCATGAACTGTAATTCAACTTTATGCTGCAGGTGTCTTATTGTGTCGCATTCACAAAGCCGGCTGGGGGATTTCATTGAGACATTAGGTTTTCCTACGAGACTGTGGTATGGAAAGTTTTCTTGAGATATTCATGGTTTGGTTGGTTTATGGTGCATAATTCTCTATGTTATTTTCTTATACTGATTTTGGGTTTCAGGGTACTACTTCTTGTTTCGTGTTTCCAGAAAACATTTTCTGGTGTTTTTTCCATAAACAAGATATTGGGATCAAGCCATGTAATTAACTTGCTTTCGTTCTTGTGAGATATTTTTGACTGGCCTGGAGTGCTATTTTTATGAAATTTCTCTTTTTTATTCAGCAATCAATATAATTATTTATGCTGATCTGTCCTTTTATAACTTTGAGGTATTTCCAGAACGAAGGACTGGTTCAAAGGTTTGCTAACTCACATTTGAATTCATCAGTGTTTCGAGCACGGGTAAATCAGAAAACTCCTGTTGATTTTTTTATTACGTTTCTACGCTGGTCATTCCATTACAATCTTCTCATAAATTTGCTTTTGCAGCATGGTGTGCTAATGGAATTCTGTAAACATGAATCATGTTGCTCTGCTACTGATCCATATCATGGCAACCTGAAGTTGGTAATTTCAGGCCCTACGTTTGTTAGAATATATGTGAACTAGCGTAATTAAACTTTTCAAGTGTCCAGTTGATTATACTTTTTGCTAGTTTGGTTTTCTTGTTAACCATTATCTTTTATTTCTTGTGGTTGCTTTTAGGTGGTACCCATATCCAGTTTCATCTATCATTGTGAGATTTTATGGATAAATGCACTGCTACCATCGGATAATAATCTTCCTGTCTCATGCGGGGGGAAATATTATCAACGATCAAAACGAAAGTCTTTTCAGAGTGAAGATTTGGGAATTATTTTGGTTGGAATGTTAAAGGTTAGTAATTAAACTCGTATGCTCATATGCAGCCAAGTGAGGTCATTTAACTAAAGTAAATATTGAAAATACGAATGGCGTGATGGAGGGTACAAGACCAAAAATAAGTTGAGTATGATTTTGATGTTTGCTGAGGTGTTAAAGCCATAGGGTTAATGTTTGAGTATTTGGTTTTCTTTATTATTTTCTTGTAATATTTGACAATTTAAGTCATAAACAAAATGAAGGGGAATGGTGGCAAGTGGTTTAAAGTTAATCAAATCTTGCTTCAGTTGTTGATTACCTCCATTTTGATGGAATACTGGAACTTATTACAATTTTTTCTTCATGTTTTATATATGATGTCAAGGGACCATTTTTTGGATGAATTATGTTTTATGTTATATCCTACACACTATTCCAACTATCTAATATTCCACTGTTTAAATACAATTATTCATACTATCAGGCCAATTAATTCTAGTATCATTAAGTTTGATTCGAATAACATCTTTGATAAGTTCTAGCAACTCATGTATAGTCCTTTGCTGAATTCTAAAGAGCCAACCGTTTCTTTCTCTTTAAATACAGTTGATAAAAGCATTCCAAGCCAATCAAAGGACCACTGTTATGAGAGCCTTTCCTTTTAATTTCGAAATAAGCTAGTGTTGCTCCTGCCTCTGAGTCTTTGGTTCTCTTTGCGATGCACATAACTGTAGTACACCCTTTCAAACTTCATTTGAGAATGAACGTTCCATGGATAGGTGATATCTAGTTTCCTGCTCACTCTTACACATTGCACAAGCTTCTTCAACATTCATCCCCACCTTTTTGGCCTGTTTTTTGTTGGTAACTTATTTTGGAAATTGTAAAAAAGAAAAATTACAACCGTTAATTTTATTGTTACAAATTGCGACTTTTGGGAAGGATTTTAGGCTAATTAGCAAAGAATTATGAATGGTAATTTCCCATTCTTGTAAATCTCTCCTCACTCTTTTAAATGAAACGTACATAAATTGCTCACGGTGAAAAAGATAATGATGATTATTGAAGAATATTAGCTAATTTTATCTAATCATTGTTGTATCTCAACTCGTCTGATATCTCCATCATCATCTTATTATTATTACTTTTGTAAGATTAGCCATTGTTATCTAATCTTGGTTCTATCTCAACTCTGCAGATATCTTCATCTTCTGGAAGATTGCAATTGGTTGATATGACTGGTAGCATTGATGTTATTATACCAGACCTTCCATCATTTTGGGACCCTAATAGCATATTTGAGGTCATAAAATATCCATTATATTTTGTTGTTCTCTTTATCATCTTGTTTTTAGTTGCATGATATTAGAGGGTTTATTCACCCCAGCAGTCTATTCTTTTTTTCTTTCTTTCTTTCAATTTTCAGGTAATTGATTATTTTCTAATTGCGGAAGGAATGCCTGAATCAGACCATCCAGGGTTATCTGGTGATGACTTATTATTGCCTCGAAGTATCTTCCAGGGCTTCCCATCGGCGAGAAAACCAAACCTAAAAATTTTTGTCTGCTTTCACCTACGTAATGCAACATGCAGGAATCGTCTCATTTATCCATATGTAGCCTCTGAGGATGAACTGAATGATACCAAAAGTGGAATATTTCACCTTATCTATATAACTCGTAAATTTCGTTCCCAAAGTCATTCAAAGAAATTAGAGATATCTGTGTTTGCCGAGGCCATAGTCATGCCTTGGTATTTGTTTCTAACTGCAAAAGATGGAAGTATACATCAAGAGAAGGTTTTGATAGACTGTACTATTGGTAACCCCACAGATCATTCTTCTAGTAAGAGGCAGAAGACTAGTTGCTCATCTAGTCAGTCGGGTCCAGGTTTCAAGAACAATTTTTGCAATGTCTGTTTTGAGAAAGGCACTTTTTTAAGGGAAACATGTGGGCATCAGAGTTGCATGGGAACAAACTTTTCTCATGAAATTCCATGTTTGGCTACCATACAAGGTGTTAATAATTTTTTCTTTACAAGTTTTGGGACCTTGTATAGAATAAAGACCAATGCAAAAGCTAAAGTTTGTAAAGGAAGTGCGAAGAAGATTTTTTTGGCTTTTGCATCGGAAAGTGATTTCAAATATCAGGTATTTTTGAATTCCTACTTCCCCATTTTATGTCATTATTCACACAACACATAAATGATGATTTGTTTGTACATTTATCTTACTCGTAGAAGGAAACTAATTTTGTTCATTTCTATTCAATTTCAGTTGTTGCAGATTGGTGGTTTTTACTTAATGAAGCACCATAAAGAAGGTTCTCTCTGTAACATTAAGGACTCTGGTTTAGAATGTGCTAAAGTTCTTGTTACTTCTGGAACATATTTGCGAAAACTTTCATTCTCCTCCGAGATTCTTACCGCTGATAAATCGATGCATGATTCTTCAGTTTCAGACATTCATCTTCATGTCTCGTCAAGCTTAACAGGTCTTTTCGAGAGTGATACAAAGGAATTGGAGACTGGCCAAAATGCACCGGATGCAAACCTAGGGAACTCGGGTTTGCTTGATCATAGTTGCCTCTTTCCTGCTAGAATGTTTACTTCTGTGTGTGGAGATATTATAGCTGTCCACAGTTTTGACCAAGGTTCTGATATGTGCTCAAGCCGTGAGCACTATGGTGATCTTCGTCAATATGGGTTTTGTGCTGGAGCAAAAAATTGTTGCATTCATGTTTCAGTGGCCAATCAAACAGTAAATGGCTATTATATGATTCATGTTCATCTTCTTTACTTCATTATCTGGAATGCTTATCTTATTGCTGAATATTATTGTTTTAGGTGAAGGTTTTTGAATTTTTTAACCAGTATCTGTTCCCGACTGGGTTTGGGCCTGGCATAAATGCAACTTTCCATCGAATTCTTGATCTCCGGTATGAACTTCAGGACTCAACCCTGCACTGTTTCAGGGTCCCTTTCCTATTTTCTTTGGTCCTTATTCCTCCCTTTCTTAATGTCCAACAATGAAATTGACCCTTTAACTTGTTGCCAATCTTTATATTCTTTATCAATAAAAATCTTGATGATAGATATGGTATTGTCTGAATGTAATTAGCTAATTAGTTATGGTAAAGGCTATTAGTACTCCTATTTTGGTTTGATTAATGTGTGTGTACATGCTCTCTGATTATTGAAATTTTATATGTTGAAAATTTCATAAATTTTATGAGTTTAACTGAGATGCACACATTTTATACTTGAGAATAGACTATGGTCTGTAGGATGATGAAGTTTTGGGATTTATTCGGATTATATGCATTTAGTTCTGAAATACGACTAGAGGAATTTCTTGTGGGATTTGAAAATGATACTGAAGATGTTAATTATGCATGCATAATTTTTTTTTTTAACTTGGTTCTGGTTGCTAAGATCACTATAATATGCCCCAGTAAATGTGGTTATTCTGATCTTGCAATTATTCATGCACTTGAATCATTCATTATTTGTCATGCTTGCTGAATTTAAGTTGTTTTCTTTAACTTACACCTCTTAGTGTTTAGTGATGTAATTGGTATGTCTTGGGTCCAGGCCCAGGGTCCCAAGTACATTGTTGTTAACATCTGAATCCAGCATTGTGATTGATCCAATAAGGGCATTCAATGAAACACACAGCTCAGATGGCAATCTAAAACTATTCCGCTGCAGAGTAAGTTTCAACATTCATTTTAAAGCCCTTTAAATGTGTCTCCTAGTTGTTTAACTTATTGTTGGTCATTGGTCATAACTAAGGTAGCCGATGCTCATATTGATCTTTCTGTTCAATTTTGTGGCAGGTTGTTGCTGTTCATTTGCTGGTTCTAGAGAAGAACAACAGGAAATGTGATGACTTAAAATCAAATATGCAATCCAGACCTCTAGGTGTTGATATTCCACTTGCTTGCTTTATATTGGGTGAGTTACCCTCTTTTTAAGAGATTATTGATGGAATGTGATGTATTTGTTTATTCTTCTATGCTTCCTGTACCGTACACAATTTCTGATTTGCTACTTTCATTCGTGTTATATATTGTTGTACTTAGCATTGCGACTTCCAACTTTACGAGGTTAAGCTTTATGTTAGAGGTTCCTAAAGATCGAACTTGGTGGTAAGAGAAACATGTCCAATCTCGCTCATTTCTTTCTCGAAGATTTTACTCTTATCTTCCTTGTGGCTCTCCCGAGTGTGCTTCAAGTTTTACTGGCCAGTGACTTCTATTAAATTTTATCATTGCGTGTTATGAGATTTGCTAATACCAGAATAGATATCCAATGCGTAAGTTAAGCCATTTGTCTGAGAGCATGCTTTTGTTCAAGCAAAACTGCTTATTGGATGATTGTTCTCTTAAGTTACTTGCTTTTCCCTCCACTGTTCAATAATGTGAAAAGAATATTTTGTGCTATACATCAGCTGCGGAAATCTGTGATTGGCAACGATGAGATACTCGTCATTCAGTTTTCTTTTTACTAATTTTTGCACCTTTGCAAGATATATTTTTCTGATAACCTTCCCGCTTGCAAGTGTAGATGATGGTTCACGTTCTTGGTGTTGTTGGGCCGATGCTAAAAGGGCAGCAACACTGCTGAGGCTGAAGGAATGTCCACTGTCTGGCTGTGAAGCCAGTGGTTACAAAAAGAGGTGGATTGGTGTACAGAACACTGACAGGACCTCTACCATGCATCATCTTCAAAGAATTTTAGAGAAGCATGAGAGGATTACTGTCAAAAGCGCTAGGTCGGTTTTTGATCCTATTAATCAAGACTTCACTGTTACGGTTGGTTCAGGAAGGGAACTAACTGGGTTGGATGATGATTTCCACCTCTTGGCATCCATAATCTTTAACGCGAGCATCAATACACTCTGGGTGAGTTTATCGGTCTAGAGTAATATATTTACATGGCAGAAATGTTGTAAGATGTTCTCTAGTTTATGCTGAAATGCTTAGTTAAATGACTTTTTTTGTCACTTGACAGACCGTGGTTACTGAAGTGATGGATTCTAACGCAGTCAACCTGTTAAAAGAACACCTCGTTGAAATGCAGATGCCAATGCCGTCCATGGAAAACTTATGGGCTGCAGAGGTTTGCTTTGTGAATCAGCGAACCGAGGCCAGAGAAATGTTGCAAAACAACTTGTAAAAAGGTAAACTCTCGATGCAACCGCATTTTGTACAGCGGAATAGTTATACTCCTTGTTCTCTTGTGGTTCATGTATCAATCATGTAAATGTTGTCTGATAAGTCGACAGGATATCTCTTGTATAGGCTCTAGATCCATGATAGAACACCCTTGAGCCAGTGTATGGAAACTAGATTTTTGACGTCCAACAACATGGCATTTTGTAATTTGAATTTGGGCATATGCTTATGGTGATAATCCTTTTGTTATTCTAGCAAATGCTCAACTAAGTTTTTGTTTACCATCTTGCCAACTGATGATTTTTGCAGTTCATGTGAATTCAGATTCTTCTTTAACGCAATAAACCAGCAATCAACAATTTTGCTGAAGAAATTTCACTACACTTGAGATATGAAGCTACGCTAAATTCTAAAGGTCCACAAGCATACGTAAAATTCGTGATATACGATAAATCATTCCTTTTTGTGTGTGTCTAAACTATGATCTACAACATGAGCTGCTAACCGAAGCCATTGACAATATAACTCAACCATAAACAGAGCAAGCAGAGAGAAGGAACTAAACCACCTCTACAAAATATCTTTCTATTTTAATCGTATCATTATCTAAAAGTTAAAAAAATTATTAACCCTCTGATTCATTTCTTCTGGTAGTTCCATCCCCTTCTCTTTGATACAACAGTCTCCCACTTTCTTCATCATCAACCTCTTCATCCTTCCTCTCTGCTTCTTCCTTCTCTCTAAGCGCTTTCAACTTCAAATGATTGTAATAAGCAACGCCCAAAAACGCCAGCCCGTATCCAAACAAGTTAACAGCGGTCACCGTGTCTTTAATCACCGACCACGAAAAAGCGATCAGCAACCAGTCTTTAACGACGCCAGCGACATTCATCGTCAACGCTGATGTCTTCCCGACTAATAAAAACACGGCCAGGTTCAAAGCGAAAGCGCAAAAGGAGTTGGTCCCGAAGATGAAGTAATCGAAATGGAAAGTTGAGTTTTCTTTAAGTAAAGGCAGTTCCACTGCGATCCAGGGAAGAAGCAAGAAAACGAAACAACAAGGAGCGATGTAATAAAGGGAAGTAAGTGGGTTGAGGTTGATTCCTTTGGAAGTGAGGAGTATTTGGATCAAAACCAGCCTCGTGGCCTCAAAAGCAACAGCTCCTAGCTGTAACAGAACACCCCAGGTATCGAATTTGGCTTCTCCGTAAGCAGCAATGGCGACACCAAAAGAAATAGCGAGCATGTTAACCATGGTGGAAGACTTGAAAGCATCTTTACGAAAGAGAACGCCGATGGAGTAAACAGCGACCGGCATTAGGGCTTTGAGCATTTGGATGAAGGAAACGGAGAGATAGATGTAGGCGGAGTTGGAGAGCCAAAGGGAGAGGGAGTAAAGAGCGCCGATGGGGACAACGGAGGAGAGGTAGAGACGCGGTGACATAGAAGAAGGGAGATCGACGACGGGGAAGATGCGGACGAGGAGGAAAGCTACTGAGGAACAAAAGCCCATGTGGATGAGCGTTAGGGAGATGGGGTATGGCCAGTTGTAGAGCTTTTTGTCGAGGATGAATTTGTTGTAGACTATTACGGTGAAGGAAAGGAAGATCCATATGGCTACGTAGGTGTAGGAGAGGATGATTTTTTTCAGGATGGAAGGGGAGAAGATGGTGGTGGATGAGGAGGATGTTCCGGTGGCGACTCCCATGGTGGTTTGTGGTGGACTTTATTCTTGGTAATATGGGGGGGCAAGGGTAGAGCTTGTTGCTGGCTACAAGGTGGTGATTCTGTTGGGGGAAGGATTAAAAAGATCGGATATAAATATGCAATTTCTGGAGGCTCTGAACTGTGGCATTAGTTTGCGAATTCTGAGTTTGGGTTTGCTTTCAACAAGGAGCATTATTAAATGAAAAACCCTCATTAATTTTTTTTTAAACCAACTGTCAGAATAATTAAAAAAATAACCTCTAAACTGTTTACGTAAGATATCTCAGGTTTTGCAAAAAAAATGACATCAAGTCTCACGTTTTACGAAAAACAAGTTTAATATATTTATTATTGTTTTTATTTAATATTAAATGATTTTATCTGGAAAAAATTGATGAATCTAATACCTTATAAAAAGTTGGGAGGTTATTTTTCTAACTAATAAGGGATTATTGTTCAAAAATAATAATAAACGAGGGTTTTTCATTTTAAAATGCCTCTTGGTATTTTTCATGTTTATTTAGCGCATCAGTTCGGGAATGTTTTGATAATAAAAAAATGATTTTTTATTCTAAATATAATGTTAAGCAGAAATTTTAATATATTTTAAACAGAATTTTTTATCATAATAATAATTATTATAATATTCTATTCAAACAGAAATTTTAATGTGTATAGATATATATTATTTTCTAATTTAAAAAATTAAGAAATTTAAATAATTCATAAACAATAATTCAACCTTTGTCTCTTCCATCAAAGGTAGATACCATGTGTTCGACACTACACATCATTAGAGAAATTATATAAATCACAAATCCTATATAAATTTATTATAAAATTTTAAATTTTACTTTAAGTAAAATAAAAACAACATAATCAATGGATTGATTTAGGTAATAAGTAGTTTAATATCGAATAACCAAGGTTTTAAGTTCAAGTATCTGTTGTCGTAACCGTCTTTCGGTTGGGCCCCGATTTGGGCTTCGACTGGAATTGATTGGGTTAGGAGTCGCCACCGATCATTTATTTAAAAAAATGGGTTGATCGGATACCCTATTTCTTACCTGATCTGCGTATTATCAGAGATGTGTCGGATTCGGGAGTCGGTTACAGTCAAGGAAGGGCTAGCACCCTTGAACTGCCCTTTCGGTACTGTGTAATTTCCAGTTGTCTTTAATTAAGGAAATTGAAAGTTAAATTAAAAGGTAAAATATTGATCCAAATTGCTTACCACTGATTCGATTTAAAAGTATACCCTTAAAAAGTCATGAGAAGCGTTAACAAATGGTGGTGAAAATAAATCAAAAATAAAGAAAGTGCAATAAAGAACAAAATAGACAAAAATAAACAATAAACATAATTAACATAAAAGTAGAGAACATGAATGAAACAAAAATAAGAACAAGCATAAAAACGTAAGGTAAAATAGAGAGAAGAAAAAAAAAGAAAATAAAATAAAATATGGCATATAAATAAGGCATTAGAAGAATAATAATAAAAATTACATAAAGTATACATATATATATACATATAAATATATAAAATATTAGAGGAAATACAATAAAAATAAAATAGAAGATAAGTAAACAAATGATAAATAAGAATAACGGTAATAATGATAAAGATGTCAATAATAGAAAAAAAAAGATATATATAATATTAATAAATAAATAAAACTAAAAAAAAACTAAAATAAATAAATAACTATGATCAAATATGTACGTATAAAATAAAAGGAATAATGAAAATAAACTAAAAAATATATAGTAGAATAAAATGAAAATGATAATGATGTTAAAAAACCCGGAAACTATATATAAATAACAAATATATTATTAAATAAAACAAATGAATAGAAATAAATATACGGATAATAATAAAAGGAAAAAAAAAGAATATATGTTTATATACGCTATCAATGATACTTAAAATAATAAAAATAACGATGATTATACGTATATATATATATGTATAATAAAATAAAATAAAATATACATAATATATATATATGTATATGAATAAAGGAATAAAATATAATAATAATGAAAATATAGTATATAATAATAGTAGGGACTAAATTGAAAACGACACAAACTCGAGGGTCAATTTACAAGGATTTCGGGTTCAATAACCGATTCAGAGGACCAAATTAAAGGTTTTTGAAACTGGAGAACCAAAACGCAAATCTCTCGCTTCTTGCAAAAACACGCGGGTCCATCGAAACCGGGTCGGGTCCAGACGCGGGTCAAGAGCTGTTATAAAAGTCAAAATTTTTTTATTCTCGCTCATTTCTCTCTTCACCAAACGAGAGAAATTCTTTCTCTCTTTCATTTCCTCTGCTTTGTTCTTCAAAACGAAGAACAAGGCTATGTATTCCAGAAATCGGCCACCCTGGCCTCCTCTCGCCGCCTTGCCACCGCCGTTGGTCGGCGGCGGCCGCCGGTCATCGGCGGCAACCAACTAAAAAAAACTGGTTTTTTTGAAAGCTCTTCGCCCGCACGTTTTAAAAACCAAAATATTTTTTCCAACCGAGCCTCGGAGAACCGTAGATCTAAGAGAGAATATCACGGTTCCCGTGTGTTCATCGGCCCCAAATCTTCTGTTTTTTCGAGTAAAATGACAAGGACATAACACATGCAAGGGAAAGAAGTAAGAAAGGTATAAACTTTCACCTTTTTATTTCTTCTTGAAACGCTTACAAGGCTCGTTTTTTTCACTGAGTAATTTCCTGTGTGTGCACTCGTGATTTCTAGTATTTTTTGTGTCCTTTTTTCCTCCCAAAACTTGTGTGCTTTACATAATATTTATAGCCCAACAATGGCTATTTTTAGAGTTTAAATTAGAGTAAAACACTGATGTTGGTTGTTGTTGCTTGTTTCTTTGCGTGGCCGAGAGTTCCGGTCGTTTGGAGGCGAGACGTGCGGTGATGGGGGTCTTGGAGCGACGTGATAGCCCTGGAATCTTGGTGATACGGCGCTGGATGGGGAAACTGCTAGGGTTCTGGGAACCCTAACTCCAGTGGGTCACTTGGGTCACGTGGGATTTGGGCCATTATTGTCGGGCCTGTAAAAGGAGAGAAGAGGAAAAAAATGTAAATAAACTATGTATATATTATAACATAATATAATATTATGTATGTGTTATGAGGGACGAATTTAAGTGTCTTCAGTTGCCCCTCTTTGCTCATTATCGTGTAATGAAAATAGAGCAAAGATTAAAAGACACAAATTTCGTCTACATCAACTATCCTTTGTCATAGAGTTGAAATTCGATCATGAAATGACTCCCTTGTCGTGAGGTTGAGTCAAAACTGGAAGATTCTGAGTATGAGTCCTTCGTTGTGAAGTTTGGCTTCGAGTTGGATATCCCCCGTCGTGGAGTTGAAATCTACTCTCGAGCAAATTGTGTTGTTTTCGAGTCCAATATCCTTCGTTGTGAAGTTGAAATTGGCTCTGAAATTGAGAAATGTTTGTTGACAACCAGCGGTCCCTTCGTCGTGAAGT